ACAATCACAAAACCATACAAACACCACACACCGCACACCACACACCACACACGCACACGGACACATGCACACATGCACACTCACACATACATCACACACAACACGCAAACACAAAGCACACAGCACGCACAACAGACAATACACAAGTCACACAACACTCAACGCACAACACACACACACCACACAACACACACACCACAACACATTCAGCACCCACACACACACACACACACGCACACACACACACCCACACCACACATCACACACCACATATACAATATACAACACACACAGAGGCCGCACTCACAACATTCACAACGCACACAGCACGCAACACACACAACACACATATACACACACTCACACAATATAAACCAACAGCACCCCCCCCTCTGGGGCTCCGTCAAGTTCTCCACCATCGGCGGCAAATACCACCACCCCGGGCGTCCAAGAGAGCCCCCCACGGAGAGCCTGAAGCCAGCCCAAGACGCCTCCGAGACAGCCTAAGAGTGCTCCAAGGCTGTTCAAGCCGGCCCCCCGACGGCTCTGAAGCTGGATGCCCCCAAGAGCACTCAAGATCGCCCCAAGAGGCTTTCAAGAGTCCCCCAAGAGCTCTGGCAAAGCCCTCGAGAGGCCAAAATCACTGAAACAAGCATGGAACATCTATGATTCTTGCGTCCTCGCATTTCCGCCTCCGAGACACTTCCGAGGCTTGCGTATGCCCTCCAAAAGAGCTTCAAGATGCCCCGAAGAGGCGTCCCGAGCGGTGCAAAGGGGCCCCAAGAGGCCACGATAGGTTTCCATGACGCTCGAAGAGACACCACCGAGGCTCAAAAGACGCTCCGAAGAGGCCACAACGAGCTCCCAGGAGCCCCCCCCAGAGGTGCCCAACGCCGAAGAGGGCCCCGAGATGCCCTCAAGAGCTCCCAAGAGGCCCCCAAAAGAGCTTCAAGATGCCTCCCAGAGGCGTCCCGAGCAGCTCTCGGGGGCATGCGCAAGCTTCGGAAGCGTACCGGAGGCGGAAACGCGAGAACACAAGAAGCACACATTTCCTAAGGCTTTTCAGTAAAGTTTGGCCTCTCGAGGGCTTCCGCGTAGCTCCTTGGGGACTCTAGGAGGCCTCTTGGGGTGATCTTGGGTGCTCTTGGGGGTCTCCAGGGCCAAATTGAAGACAATGGAATTTCCTCAAATCCATTTTTTTCAAGGTCGCCCCCCCCCTCCGTTCGCCTCTGTCCCAGGCTTTGGCGTGCCCCAAGGTGCGTTTCCGTTTTGCCCAGCCCTCGCTGTCCGTTCTCTTTGCGCTTTCTCTTGCTCTTGGTTCTCCGTCTCCCGTTGCACATTGGACACGCAAAACAACATCGTCTATCCGATGGTTCTTGCGCGATTTTCAGAAGATTAGGTTCTTCGGTGTTCGGGGCGTCCGAGACCGACCAAGAGGTTGGAGCATCGGCCCAAAACGATCCAAAGGGCGTCACAATCCATAAGAGCTCAAAGACGGTCCAGCAGGGCCCTGCGGCGGGCGACGAAGATTGCGTCTGCAGTCCCGGGCCGCGTTCTGAGTCCAAATTGCGTTATCCATATGCGATCCTCGGCACCCGCTCTCTTGAGTCTCTGCAGGAGGATGGCGGCGAAGATTTTATACACGATCGGCAGGAGACTGATGGGTCGATATTATCGCACAGCGCTGGGTTCCCCTTTCTATTTATATATCATCCGAGCTTTCGATGTGTGCCAGGCCTGCGGAACTGCCTCTTGGGACCACACCAGGTTGCAGAAGCGAATAATCCACTCCATCGTGGGCGTGCCATCCTCGGATGCTGCTTTCCAGAATTCAGGCGGCACCTCGTCAATGCCACCAGCCCTGCCTCGGTTCAATTTCCAGGCGGCTTGTCGGACTTCAGCGTCAGTGATCACGCCCAGGTTAATCATGAGCTCCCCGTGGATGGGCGAGGTGTCCGGCAAGGCAGCGTGTTCGGCAACTCAGCCCATTGAATTTGTTCTAGGTGTTCGGCCAAGGTGTTGGCCCGTTGGTCGCTGTCGACGACTTGCTTGTTGGCGTCGCAGAGCCTGCCTTGCTGCCGTGTCGCACCCTTCCGAAGCTTTCGAATCTGTTCCCAATCGCCAGTCGCCGTGAGCGTCTCCAGCCATGACGCTCTACCTTTAGTAACTGAAGCCTTGATCAACTTGGCAAGTTTCTTTTCTCCTGGCTTGTCGTCATCCTGTCTGGCCCTGTTTCGTCTGTCGATCAAGCCCAGCGTGCCAGAGCTAATCCGTGGGCGTCGCGGGGCTTGTGGAACTTTGGGCACTGCGCGGTCTGACGCTTGGTGGAAAGCATCAACCAGCTGGCACCGCGCTAGGTCCACGCTCCCGTTGTCAGGCGCAGCTT